GGATGCATTTCCAAACCATATCCAAATCTCAAACACAGATACCATCAGTAATCTAAGTATCAAATTTCGGAATTTTATCTCTATTCCTTCATTTTCGACACACCAAACTGGAAACACTGTAAATTCCAAACTGTAAGCACTATCTGTTCGCCCAATAACAAATTGTACCAAATTTAGTATCGTTTAGCAATTTTCGTACACATTTCCAAAAACAAATATAATTCTCAAACGTACTACCAACTGCAACTTTATCCGTTCACCTTAAACCAAACTATTCCGAGTTTAGTGCCATTTAGTACAATTCGCACACACAGCACACATACCAAATTTCAAAAACCCTGGTTTTTAACCCGATCCTCGTTCACATAGTACCAAATAATACCATTTAAGAAGTTTAGTAACATATTAGAACTTTTCGTGACCTTAAATTTCGAGTTTCGATATATTCTTTGACAAATCTATCTTGCACTCCATCAGTGACTCTTATTCCAAATTTAATAATTCTAGCTCATTCCGTTTGTCGAATACGAAGTATTAAATTTTGTGTACATTTTAGTACTTTTCCGACCCATTTAGTGCGAATTTCCAAAAGTATAGCCGAATTAAGTTTGACCCTCTTGCACGATTTATCCCCTGCATGTATAAATTTATTCTAATTAAAAAAAAATACACTCACACATTCGAATGCGTATAAATCAAGAATGTCGTAATGTTTGACACAGCCTTGTTTATGACCATCATTTATCATTTCGAATTTTATGTTCACTGCAAATTTGTTTAAATTAGTTTGATAAAGCAGATGAAAAGTTTCTCTTCTGATTAAATTATATCGTTAACTGTTGGCTTTTAATGCCCCGTTTTATGACAAAACAAAACCATTAAATAATAGATGAGATAAACTTTGGCAAAGATATTATTGTTATCGTTGTTTAATTGAATTAAATTGGAAATTTGCTTTGCTCAATTCATGGATTTAATTTTATGAGATGGAGGATATTGGATGTGTTTTATAGTCAGTTGCTTAAAAATGGAACATAAAATTATTTTTATTAGGCGCTAATTGGGAAGATCCTTAAAGGAAATCGAGAGAAGTTCACAAATAAATAAATTCTGCCATTCCACCAAATTAAGGAAGCAATAAATATTAACGACGTCAAAAATGTTTGAGGATTGAAATATCCGGTCGTTTCGAATTTGTACCTCAAATTTTACCAAAAATAGTCAAATATTTTTAGGTACATCTTCAACGAAGAGATGCAACGGTTGAAGCTAAAATCTTAAAATTTTGCTCGAGGGTCAGTTTTGGCGCGTAGGAGTGTAATAAGGCTAGGTTTTTGGAAGTTCGCAGTAAAAGAATAATTTTTAAGAACAAATAGAATGAACTAAAATTTTGAAAATTGGAATGAGAGTCACTGATGGAGTGCATGATTTTGGAAATTCAAATCAAAATTAAAAAGTAAATTTAATATATGATTTTGGAAATACGTACTTAGTGTGCGAACTTTACTAAAAGTCTCTCACTTTGGAACAGTTGGCTTTTAGGGCGACGGATGAAGCTGGAATATTGAAATTTTGTATTGGGTTGACTGTTGGTGGTGGTGATGGTTTGTGATAAAGAGGTGGTTTTGGAAATGTGAGTAGCCTGGACATAAGGAGTTGGCTTTGTAAATGCATACTATATTTGTAAGAAAAGTTTCGTATTATGTAAAGGGATATAGCTGGAATCGTCAAATTTGATATTGAGGTTATTTTTTTGTATCTGGAAATGTGATATGGAGGTGATTTTGTAAATGTGTTCTCTAATGTTACGAACAGTATTTAATGGTACCAAATTTGGTATTGGATGAAAGAATAGAGTTTCTAAAGTTTCATATGGTTAGAAAAAAATCGTCTATATTTGTCCGAAAAGTACAAAATGGTAACAGACTTGGTATTTGGTCAATTTAAATTTAATATTGGATGGTTCTCTGTTGGTTTCTGGAATTGTGGTATGTACGTGGTTAAGCAAATGTGTATTATAATTGCACGAATAGTACTTAATAGTACTAAATTTGGTCATTGGCAAAGGGCTGAAATCTTAAAATTTGATATGGAAGTCACTGTTGGTGTCTGCAGTTGAGAGAAGGAGCTGGTTTTGGATATGTATACTTAATTGTATAAAAGGAACGGAGGGAAATAAAATTCTGGAATTTGATAGTTGGGTAACTCTAAGTATCTGAGGTTAAGATTTGGAAATGGGTTTAGAAATGCAAACTATAGTTGTTGGTTAAGTACTAAATTGGACTTCATTTGGTATTGGGTGAAGGGATATGGCTGAAAAAGTAAAATTTTATGATGAATGAAATGATGAAACGGTTTTGCAAATTATGACTAAAATTATTCGAAAAGTACTAAATATTACTAAATTCGGTATTGAGTGAATTTATGAAGATGGAATCCTAAATTTTAATATGGATTTCTCAGTGTTGAGATCTGGGGATGGTTTTTCAAATGCGTACTAAAATTGTTCGAAAACTACTGAATGGTATTAATTTTGGATCACTGTTGGTGTCTTGGATGGGGAGTTGTAGATTGTTTTGGGTATGCGTGTTAAAATGAAAGATATTGAAGACTTTCCGATTATTCTTTCCGAAAAAGGAAAAACTTAAATAGGACTTTTGGTATTGAAAATGGGCTTTTGCTAAAGCCCTCATATAAAGGGTATTTTGATAATTTTAGCGGCATTATCCACCGAAATTGTTTCAAATTCAATATTTGAATATTGTAATGTCCTATGCATAAACGACAACGTTTTGTATAGGCCGAAATGCAACTCCCTGTATTTTGTATTTTTATGATTTTGGCAATATCTTTCAAAAGATTTTTTTTTTTGAAAATTTGCAAATTCCTTCCAAATGGTGGGGGTATTTAAAGTTCAGCCCGGCCGACTCACTGCTTTTTCATTTGTTTATCATATTTCTTATCCCGTGAGATTTTGTGGTATTATGTCGTAACAACTCGAAATATTTGTCCCTATGTCGAGGACCAATATTTCCTATTTCGACGAGCCGAGTCGATTTACCTATGTATCACCGCCTATCCGTCCGTGTGTCCATGTTTATTTATATTCAAGCTACAAGTCACAATTATGATCCGACCCTCACAAAATTGAAAATGAATGGTGGGGTTAGGGCCAGCCAGAAGCCTATTATTTTTAGAGATGATCGCAAAGTATTTAGGTGTTGAAATGGACCAAAAACAGAATCATTTCCTGATTTTGCAGTTGCTCTACAGGACACAATAATGAACCAATTGACGCGAAATTTTGCATGGAGTTAGAGGTAAGGGCTGGGCAGAAGCCCGCTTATTTGGGACAATATTTTTAATCCCGGCAAAATTACAAATACATTAAAAGGTCACTTCTGACCATTATAATGATACTGATAGCCATGATTTCGGATACAAAGCTAAATTTACAAACCTAAAAGAAATCGATCTTAGTTATTCCGCTTATAAGTCAAGAACCACTGGACTGATTTTCACAAATCTCGTCAATTCGGAACGGTGTCTTGCCGGAAAAGAATGAAATCTATGAAAATCGAGTGAAAATATGACAATAAAAAAGTGAATATTTTTTGTTACATTTCCTGATTTTGCTGTCATTCTACAGTTCACAATTCTTCGATACGGATTTTTACATGTCATGGGAGTTAAGGACAGAGAAGAAGATTAGCATTTTCGATGATCATTGCATTATATTTAGCTGTAAAATGGACAATAACTTTCGTGTGAAATTGTTTTGAATACCTAACGACACGACGGAGAACGTAAATATTGGACAAATGCCCCTGGTCAAAAAGTTAAGGGTAACATCTAGGCACGGCTCTATTACGTCATTTCAAAAACTAAAACTTAAACTTTTTTCACCTTACAACACTATTTGTTGGGGGGTATTATATTCAGGGAGCAATTATCGTCCGATCTCCACGAAATTTTGAAAGGGGGTAAGTTTAGGATCGGAGTAGAAGACTATTTTTTAAAAGTATTTCGCGGGATATTTTCCTTTTAAAATGAACCAAACACCTCATAAATGTTTAGATTTCGTTGATGAATATAGCCAAGTATCGAAGTCAAAGGAAATCATATAGATAAGTATCTAAAATTTCAAATATTGTTTTGAATACCAGTTAGTACGACGTGGGGCGTAAATATAGGGCAAATGCTACGAAGATTTGCATGTCCTCGTAGTTTCGGCCATAAGCCAAGATAAAACCTTTGCAGCATTATATCACTTTATTTCCAGAAGGGAATGAAAATATAATGTTTATTATTAATGGGAAAAATTGAATGTGAAATATTTTTCTTACTGAAAGAGTGAATTAGGTGCTTGACGTAGTAGCAGCATTTGCTTCGTCAAAAACCTACGCTTTTTTAGAGATCTATATTTTGGAAAATATTGGTTCCAGCTTTGATTATTCGAAAAAACAACGATTGCTCCAATTATGTAGTATATATTGGGATGTGTCTTAGGGCAATCTTCATTCCAGTCAGAAAAAAAAATACTGTAAATTGCCGTGTTTGGGTATCAAATGGCCAGCCTCGCCCGACTATTGCCATGGCTGTACCCTTAATGCATAATGCATAAATACTTGACACGTTTTGCAACTATGGCGATTTAACCAATTCATAGAGTTTACATTACATAAATGCACCTGTTCATATCTTTTATTCTTTGTCACTACATAGGAGAGAGAATGGTGCTTGAGACATGATTAAAGTAATGCTTTGAGGCAAGTAGCGTACGAGGAACATCTGTTTTTAACATTTTAAATCTAAGCTTAGTAAGAATAACAAGAAATAAGAACAAACATATGTTCGGAATAAGTGGGCTTAAAATGTAAAAAATTAAATTTCTCTATTGAACAGACCTCTTATATTGCTATGATTTAATTCCATGAATCCCATGAACGTGTGAATCCCATGAATGAAAAAAAAAAACTCTTGATATCCATTTTACTTACCTTGTGAAAACTGTATTAGTTTACAAAAGAATTCGCCGAATATAAAGTGACGCAGCAGCGTGCCCACCAATGTTACTGGCATACAAAGTACCCCCAACAGTATATCCGATATTGCCAAATTCAAGAGAAAGACATTGGTAATGGTACGCATACGACGATTCTGCGCCAATATTATAATGACCAACAGGTTACCAACAATTGCGAACAGTAGAATGATGCTGTAACACAATATTAGCCAAATGGGTACTTCAAATGCAGCGGAACGTGTCGCTTGCGTGCGTTGAGGGCCAACAGTGCTGGTAATGCTGTAGAATGTTGACTCAGATGTGTCATTTTGTGTTATGGTGTTGTTGTTACTGCTGCTGCTGCTGATGGCGTTATTGTTGTTGTTGTTATTGGTAAAGAAATCATATAAACTGTTATTGAATGAGTTATCCGACTCATCCCAATCCAGGGGGCTGGTAACATTTTCATAGCCCAGTATGGGATCTGCTAATGGCAAATCCAGTAACGAATTTGTGTCGGGCCACAATGCAAGGGCGGCAAATTCGTTGTCTAAGGTTAGGTACTCCGTGGTGAATGATTTTTAAAAATACACTTTTTTTGAAATATATTTTTTTAACTTAAAATATGACTTTTAAATTATTTTAATATTTTTGATAAATATTTTTTGTGTATTTTTTTATTTTATAACCCTTTTTTTCAACAATTTTCAAGCTCACTTGATATGTAATTTTTATATTTTATTATTTATTTTTTGTTGTGATTTTTTTATATTTTTTGTCACAAATTAATCAAATTTTTGACACTTGTATCTTCCACCTCACGGCTGTATTTATTTCACTCTTTTATCCAATGGACTTGCAATGATTTTTCTTCGATTTAACCCCGTTCCAAAATGACATTGGTTTCATGTTTTATTAAAATCGTTGTGTTTTGTTTCACACTTCGTTTTCAACTGACATGTGTCCCATGAAATACATTAACAAATATTATTTTGAAAACACATCCACAACACTCGAACAGATACGGTAGCAGGCAGCAGTAGCAGCAACATACATCCTTTCGCTCTGGACTCCGAAAAATGTTGTTATTCTTCTTGAAACTCACCACATGCATGCGTGCGTGAGCAGATAACGGTGGGTTGTTGTACACCGAAAAGGGAGAGAGAGAGAGTATAATATCTCACATTGCGAAGAGAATATGTTTATTATGAAATTGAAAAGTTGCCAGCAACATGTTGAGAGCCAAACAGTGTATTCTCTCGCATTTTTTCTCAACAACAATGTAACCTTGAACCACAAATGCTTTTTCATTGATAAAATCAAAATCATGGTTACATTTTACAATTACACTCACTTTAAATTACATGTGGTTATTACATTGTGTGGTTACTTTACAGGGGAATGTAAACTGAAATTTTTGTGACGTATATCAGTGTGATATATCAGTCGGTTTAGCCGACAGATGTATACCCTCAGCCAATGTTCGATTATTTAAATATTTGTTGACATGATTATTCAAATTGTTGACCCTCTCTGGAGTAGGTTCCGAACGAATGAACCAATATTTTCAATTTCATATCGGACTAAATATATATGATAATAAAAATTGCGAAATGTCAGGTTTTATCTATATAAGTTACTTCTATTACTTTATATGAGATTTTGGATAATTTTTTGGAAAATTTTAAAACGTGCGTGAGGTACCAAGTGTAGTAGATCGAAGTATTCCACTTCATACTTCATCTAATAAAGACAAAAAATATTGGTATAGGCAAAATTACAAGAAAATCGAACATTTATATCCAATTTTTTGCGAAGTCATAAATTTTATTCGTCCCAATATTTCTGGATGAAAAAAATATTTGGATATAACAATTTGTAAAGAACCGCTGACCTGTTTTGCAAGTTATGACAAATAAAAGTATTGAAAAATGGGACCCTTTATGGGTGAGGTACCCATACATATCATATCATGTATGTATATGTGGAATTTGAAAAGAGGAAGATGCTTATTTCGATTTCTTTGAGTGTTTTGTTTTTCAACATTTTGAACCCTATGTGGGGGAGGAACCAGAAAAAGTTATCCAATCTCTACCATCTTTATAACAGAGCTTGTGTTGATGGAAATATTAAGGTGTGCCAAGTCTGGAATGGAATCGGATGTTGATTTCGCTTTTTATGAGCTTCATGGATATTTAAAAATTTCAACCTTTGTGGTGGAGGTACCAGGAGTGAACCGATATATCCCATCTTCACAACAGATCTTTGGATCTGTAAGTGGAAATAATGGGGTGTGTAAAATATAAAGAGGATCTTATGCTTATTTCGGATTTTATAAACTTTTTGGTTATTCAAAACTTAGACCCTTTGTGGGGAAGGTACCAGAGGAAATGGTCCGATCTCTACTCTTTTTATAACAGATCTTCTGTTGATAGAAATATTCAGATATTCACGTGTTATGAGTTCAATGATATTCAAAATTTCGGCCTTTTGTGGGGGAGGTACCAGAAGGAGTGTACCGATATATTCCATCTTAACACTAGATCTTGGTTTTAAAAAAATCGGATTCTTATATCACATTTTTTAAGGTGATAATAAATCAAAATTTTTACCCAAAATATTATTCATTTTTTCACCTGACCTAGAACTGACGCAAGATATTAGGATTTGCAAAGGTGGAAGAAAATCGGATTATTGCCTCTCTTTCTGTGTAGAAAATATTTTTTTTTTTTCAAAAATTCGATTTTTTTTGGGGGAGGTACCAGAAGGAGTGGATCGATTTTGTCCATCTTGGCACCAGATCTTGGTATGTGTGAAATTTGAAGACAATCAGACTCTTACATCACATTTTATAAGAGTTCTAATTATTAAAAACGTTGACTCATTGTGGGGGAGGTACTTAATAGGTTGGACCGATATTTTCCATTTTCGCACCAGACCCAGCGCTGATGCAAATATCAGGACTAGCAAAGTAAGAGCAAAATCGGATTATTGCTTCCATTTCTGTGCAGAAAATATATATATTTTTTGAAAATGTTGAAAATGTCCTGAAACGGATTTGGTCCAAAGAAACCTAGGGTCTAAAACCTTTGTTTCGACTAGGCATATTTTGACCGTATCAAATGATATATACCCTTACTAGCCATATGGATGAGGGTATACAAATGTTGTCAAACTGGAAAATTGGGAATTTGAGTACTAAAGAGGTCCAGCATGAACTGTTGGAACGAATAAAAAATTTTAAAATTAGTATTTTTGCTTACGAAGTAGCGGGCACAATTGATAGTAGATGTTTTTGACACAAAAATTATAGAACATTTTGACTTGCTTCTAGACCGCTTGAAAAGGGATTTTAACCATATTTTGGAAAGGGTCAGAAGTATCCCTTTGTTAACTCGCATGGATGTTAAATATTTCGGCTTACGTGTCGCTATATACATGATATCTCGGATATCGGCATAAATGTAACGGTCACGTCAATTAAAAATATTCGAGATTTAATTGGAAATTTTAATATATTTTTACAGAAAAATTGCTAGGCTCCTGTACAACCCTAAACGCTGCCCTCAAACTATGTTTCGCTTCGATTGGTCTCTAATTGCGACCTGCAAAGCAGTTGCAAAATCAGGAAGTTTTTCTGTTTTTGGTAGATCGTGGGCATACAGCTGTCTACAAAACCGACTGATACGTTTCATCTTGTTTAATGAAAAAGTTCGTTCATCTCCTGCCACCTCCGTATATCCATTGCCAATGAAGTTGAAATGCAATGACAATTTGATTTTAATTAATAGCTTTATTCTGTTCTTCGTTTCTATGGTCCCTGAAATCTGAACAAACATCTCTACAAAAAACAAAAAAAAACTCAAGCAAATTTGTCAAGTCATTCAATTAGTAAATTGTTTGTAATTATTGGTAAATTTCATGTAAGACGACAGATTATCACAAACAAGGACTGCCAAATGATGCTAGTATTATCTATTTTTGTATCTGTCAATAATGATTTTCAAAAAATAGATAACCCCCAATGAATGCAAGTTGAACGACCTTGTCAAATTCTTAAAAACACACACACACACACACCATTGAAAGCACATAGTGTCTGGTGCTTTCAGAGAGTAATAAACGATTGATGAAAGTCATAACAATTTTCTGTCATCTGCAAGTACAAAGAAGCAGTCTTCTTGGACAAAAATATCTTCCAAGCGGGTAAACGAATATTAAAAAAGTAACACAAAAATCTTTTTCGTGCTGGGGATATTTTCACTGAGAAAAAGGACATTTTCTGAATACCTGAATAGTCACGTTTTACAAAATCACTTTCTCTGATCTCTTTTCAGTGACTATTCATATTTGAAGTAAAAAAATACATAAACTTCTTTGTATGCAAATACACATATCACCACATACTAAGATGTTTGAAAAGAAAAGGCAACGATAAAAATATTGTAATAAAAATTGGAACATTCCTTCAAAGCAAAATGTATTTCTTTTGCCACTGGGATTCACTTTCATATTTGTAGTCGAAGGATATTCGAAGGTATTAGAGTGTAATGATGTAGAAATTTTGAAAAGAAATAAATTCAATCGAAACATCCTTTAAATAAATTCGCTTAAGATGAACAAATGTTATTCAAATTATTTGATATTTAACCAGAATAAAAAAGGTCAAAGGTCGAGCTGGCCGACTTTATGATACTTAACACAGATGTGCATACCTTGTAGAAGTTTAGCCCTTAAACCTTTATATTTGGAACTTTTATGAAGTAGGCCATATAAACCATGATCATTTTTGAATGTGTATTATGGATTATGAACAGTTATAATTTGGAATAAGAGCGAACTAAGATATCGGGAGTATATCCATCTCTGAATCGATTTCCACCAGATTTGTCTGAGGCATTTGTACCTCTTGTACCAACCAACATTGATATAGGGTATATCGTACGATCTTTAGAAAGGTTATATTAAACAAATGAAAAAGCTGTAAGTTCGGTACAAATTTGGCAATTTTCAAAAAAATAAAATCCGTTAAAAATTCTGTTAAAATCTTAAAAATACCGAAAGTAGCAGTATATTATGGTCTATACGAAGACGTGGACCTGCATAGGCAACTTTTGCCTTAAGCTATTACAATATTCAAATGCGAAACATGAAAAAATCTGTTTGTAATGTAGCTAAAATCATCAAAATACCGAATATAGGGAGGTACCATGGGGGTTATAAAACGTGGACTTGCACAGACAATTTTCTGCCAGAGGCTGCAGCATCCATTACGAACTTCAAATAGAAAATTTGGAAAAATTCCGGTAAATAATTTCGCTAAAATCATTAAAGTACCAAATATCGGGGGTACCGTTATATGGAAGCTATACGAAGACGTGGACCTACATGTCCCATTTTCTGTCTTATGCTGTAATATCCATTACGAACTTCAAATACCAAATTTGAAACAATTCCTGTAAATAATGTCATTAAAATCATCAAAATATTCAATAGGGGGGGAGGGGTACCGTTATATTGGGGCCATACGAAGACGTGGACCTACATGTCTCATTTTCAGACGTAGACTGTAGTATCCATT